GAATGTGTTTCCTTTTTTAGTTTTGATTTTGAGCAGCAAATTTGAAGTTACATATTGGTGCTCACCAGGAATGCATAAGCAAAATTGCACACATTTTCACTTGAAAGAATAGTGAAAAATCTTAGGATTTTTTTCTGTTAAAGTTTCAAATAGTGTGTAAATTGAATACACTTCGTCTTCAGCATGTTAAGTGCCACTTTTGTAAGTGGCCCCACCCCCGTCCAGGCCACGCCCCCGTCCCGGCCACGCCCCCTTCCGCTTTTTTCATCATGAGCCACTCTCATCCATGACTTTGTCCGAGTCTGCATTTTGAAATCCAAAAACGTGATTTGGTTCGGTCAGAACCTGACACTGTCCTGTCTCGTGCTAATGAGACACTGCTCTCCCAACACATACACATTTAACAGCTAACAATAATTTGTGAAGATGAAGGTGATGACTTAAAGCACTAATGTGTGGTTCAGGTGCATAAAATCACAGTAACCAGATAAAATAAATATATCAATTGGCTGTTGTTTGGAGAATATATTTTATGACAATAGAATTTTTTTTTTCTTTTTTCAGGTTGACGGCTGAATTCATGCTCTATGTACAATAAAATAATGTAACACAACAGTTTACTGCAAGTGGTTGATTTGGCTTGAATTTCATAAATGCAAGGAGGACTCAAATAGATTTTACTTCAAAGCTTCAACGAAGTGTCTTTCAGAGTTTTCAGATTCACATGCAAAAAAAAAGTATTCTGTGTTCTCTGTAGCAGTTAGCCAATTTCATGAACACTGCATAATTTTTATACATTTAAATAAAAAAAAAACATGCATGTTATCCTCAATTGAGATGTCAGAAAGTTTCATGGCTTCTTGTATTTATTTAGTGTCTGAGATGTGGTCCAAATGGTATTTCAGATTGCTGACGCCTGTCCTGCACAAAGTTTAGAGATTTTAAAAAAAATCTTAACTACAGAGAGGAAATTCGCTTGTTCTCACTCACTCTCTCACTAATGCTTTCTCTCGAACCCCAAAAAGTTTAGCCAGTCGTATGCTGCATAGCGAATGAAATTACGATGGTGTTAACCGAATGAATCACAAATGAATTAATAATGTATTCATATCATGAATCTGCTGTTATGCATTGCTAAAGGAGTGTTCATTTTGAGCTGAACATTTGATTGGTCTTTCTGGTGCAGGTACGAGATTCGGGACCCGCATCTGGTGGAGGAACACGTCCTGGAGGTCCTCAAGGAGAGGGCCGACTTCGACAACTACAAGCCCCGCCCATTCAACATGCGTGAATTCTACGACCGGACGGGCCACGACATCAAGGACATGCTGCTGTCCTGCTACTACCGCGGCATGGAATGCAGCGCCGAATACTTCAAAGTGGTGAGTCTGCCACGTCGATACTTACTTGGCCTCCCGGGGCTGAGACCCGCGAGGGTCTTCCACGTGTACAACGCAAAGTCAGCGTTCACAGAGCTTTTTGGAACATAGGAGCAACGTGACATTTGGTAAATTTGATGATTGCATCTCTGGAAGCAAACGGGGAGTCGAGATTGTTTTGGTCCCGCTGAGCATGGCAAGCGTTGCCAACGGAGAGTGCACAGATGTGCACTTAGTAGACTCCTGCTGCCTTTTGTGTGATACTTGGGTGTTTCTTAATGGTTGAGCAACGCTGTCATGAAAAGGTTGAATGAGAGGTTGAAAATGGCCTATGTGTCGTAGTCTTTACTTGTGTGCTCGCTTGCTATTTCCACTGCGCGGTGCATTTCACTTCGGTACTGTACGCCATTGTATTTCTTTTCCGTGACGAAAAGTGTGAACATTTTACACTGCAAACATTTAAATCCAAGCATGATTACATTTCTCACATCAAGATCAAATGACTGTCTGCCAAGATATTACTACTTAACTTATTACTGGTTCTGAACAGTGTTGCTGATGGTGCAGTAGTACATTCGCCTAGCTTGTGTGCGGGCAGCGTGGGATCGCTTCCCACTCACTGAGGTATTTGATGTGGGTGTGAATGGTTGTTTCAATCTATATGTGCTGTACGACTGACGGGCAACCAGTTGAAGGCGTACGTAGTCTGCCTTCACCCGACGTCAGCTGGCACAGGCGTTCTTGAGCATCATAATCTTCCACTTGGAAGCTTTTGAACAACCTGAAGTTGGTACGGGTCAAGCCTTTATCACTCTCCAAATCATTCCACCGAGTTGAGCTTTTGTTGTTTTCTAAGTTCCAGTGCAGCCTTCTGGGTGGCCTTTTCCATGCTTTGCGTGAACACCTGCTGAAGAAGTTTTCAATATCAGATCCTGTATCAAGAAACCTGCCAAGGTTCATTTAAACTGTGTTATACGTTGTAGTACAGTGAAAGTTACTAAGCTTCACAAACTGGTGCCGAACTCCGTTCGAGGATTGAAAATCTTCTTGCCAGGTGGCAATTTAGCAAGGCTGCTCCAATGTCAGTTAGTGAGCCATGGGCAAGGGTCAGTCTTCTGGATGCTTTCTAAAACTGCAAAGCCAAATAATGATGGCCCTACGTCTGTCCCATATTACCTCAAATGAAGTAGAAAAGAAAAAGCAATGTGTTTAGTGACCTTTGGGGCACCTTGTACTGTTTTTTTTTTTTAGAGCAAAGCAATAAGCAAAATGGGAAGTAAAAAATAATGGAAAATATGGCCAAAATGTGCTTCCAAATGGATCTGTGCAGCAAAGAAAAAATTCCCCGGCATATTATCGACATTGGGATGATTGGCTTCCATCTAACTAGCTGCAATTTGAAGCCAAGCAGGTAGCGTTTGCACCGGTGTGCATTCACTCTCCCGAAAGCTGCTTACAGCGGCTGGAAATGCAGCTAATAGAGTAATTGTGATGACTGGCTGCACAGTCGATTTTTGTGTGCGCTCCGCACATGTGACCAGTCGTACTGCACAGCAACAGAGCTGCACACTCAGCTGCTATTTGTTTGTGTTTGTATCACTGATCCCATTTAGAGGTGAGCCAAGTCCAGGTAATTCAAAGAAGCATTTTTTTCCCTCAGACCTCCTACACATTCAGATGACCTTTTGGGTTCCTGGTAATTGTTCTTGGCATTTTTGCTCCTCCAGCAGTCATTTTATTTCAGCCAGTCGCCAGTACTGTCCATTTAATCTTGTCTAAGACCGCTGCTGGGTAGAATGAGTCCAGCGCCAATTAGTTCACAAATTAACAGATAAGGATAATCTGGGAATGTCATCTTATTTGTCAATAACAGCAGAAGGCAGTCAACAAATAGCATCATGATTGCATGAGAAGCAAAGGAAAACCCGGAAACTGTTCAAAGTTGTTAAAGTAATATCTGGAAATTCTAAGTGCAAGCAGAGAAGGGGTTGCATTTAATGGTCATTGTCCCAAAGGTTTGTGAATAACAAGTGAAGTACCACAAAGCACGTCCTGTCAGTGCAGTCAAGTGGTTCTAATGCCTATATCTCTGTTGTGCAACCGCATGCCAGCTGCGTCGAGAGATGTCAATGCTGACACTGTTTTTGTCATTTCAACAACAGCACCGTAACTACACTGGAAGCTCTGAAGTACAGCATAATTGTGTCCCAAGCCGTATGAAAGGTTTGCAGTTGTAAAACTGCTAGCGAGGACTTGAAGGTAGCCTCACTTCACTAATCAATTGATTGACACTTTTTCACACTTTTAGCCTGATTGATTGCTGTTTTTAAGGTGGGGTGTTTTTTTAAAAATCAAATTACAGGAATAAGATGTGGCAAGCTGCGACCAGAGAGCGATTTTTATTTTTTATTTTTTTCACATTTTCATCTTCGTAATGCACTACTGTCAGGTTAGAATGACAGTTTTGACAAATGTGACTAAAAGTGACTTTTGAACTCGCGAGATATATATATATATATATATATATATATATAAATATAAGAGCTGCTGGAAAGGCATCCACTCTCGCGGCGCCATCTTGAAGTCAAAATAACAAAATACACATAGATAGACAGTCGTGCAATCTTAATTAGTTTTCCTGCATACACTTTGTTGTTTGAAGCAGTTATAGATGAAAGAGGAGAGGATCAAAGTGTCCTTTCACCAGTGGATCAGAGACATCATGCTGAAAATGTGCACACGTCTGCTAAAAGCTAAGTCTTGAAAGCAAACACGAAGCTGTAGTGTCCATTGACGAAAAGAGATTGGCTCACATCTGTCCCACGTAATCCGCTTCAACTCCAAGCTACGACTCCCAGTTGCACATACGCATCGGCGCTCTGCGCTGACTCTCCTTTCTTCTCATCGTTGGCTCCTCAAGCCTTGCATCCAACCAGCCGCAGACCGTCCAACAGCACCAATCTCTCTGCTGAACAAAGCAAGGCTGTGCAAAATGCTGCCCATTACAGGCAAAACAAAAAAATATATAATATAATAATAAATGAAATATAATAATAATAGTTCATTAATTGAAACTGCAGATGCCATTCTATTTCATGGATGGAGGAGCAGAGGTTGGATGGAGTGGCGAGAGCGTGCTCTACACAAGGTCATCTGATTAGAAGCTCCCCATTGGGACACTCATAGAAGAATTGTGGGAAAGACATTTGCCACAGCTCAGGCCTTCCCGTGTGGAGTTTGCTTGTTTGCCAAAGTAGCAGGACTGCTTACTCTGGCTTGCTCCTAAATTTCAAAAACATTCATGCTAGATTGAGTGAAGACTGTAAATTGGCCGCAACGTGTGTGCCCTGCGATTGGCTGGTGCCCTTATGGTGTCCCCTGCTTCTTGCCCAAAGTCAGCTGGGATCGGCCAGATCATCTGGGAGCTAAGACTCAGCCCAAAGATAAAATATAAGGAAACTCCCAGTAAAAATGGAAGGTCAGGCCATTATTTTAAACACTTCGAAGTACTGCGCAAGAGCCAAAGAACATGCTCATCCCATTTCCCCGTGTACCACATTCTCTATTAAGTTATCTTTTTACGGGTCCGTGTGTGCTTTTGTTCGTTGCACTTGGCCTTACCCTGTTGCAAAGCAGCAAGTATTAAATGTGTTGAAATAATTCAGAGTGCAATACAAGAGGATAAAAAGGAAGTTGAACGTTAACAATGAACCGCTGCCTTCAGTATCCCGGAGCGTGGTGGTAGTAAAACTGTGATTAACGCTGCTGGCAGGATTGGCTTCTTTATGCCCAACCGTGACTTTAAGCACTCCCTGGCATTTTGTGTGTGCTACACGGAGAGACGATTCTATGAGAACATGAACTGATGATATTGTGGACGAAGAGAAAACAATGGATCTACCTTAGTTTGGTCAATGATGACCTGGCGAGATGCTTGCATCAATTCCATAAAATAACGTAACGTCATAGCAATGTGATCCGGCGAAAACTGCCATTGTGCTCATCAACACCCACTCACTGACCACCAATTTGTATCTTGTACATCGGAACTCCCGCCTACTTGGGGTTCACTATTCACAAATTCATCACTTCACGTATTTTGCTCTGCAACCTATTCTTAGCCCTTCAGTCCAAAACTCCCCTAATTTTTGTGCCTTTTAACACCCAAAAAGGTCACAAGATGGCGCCAAACCCCTAGCTGAAAGGAAACTAGTAATTGGTCTTCAAGAAGTAATGTCCAAGTGATAAATCTTGATAGACAAGATATTTGTATGTTAGAGAGGAGGTAAAGTTTAGCCTGGGTTGTCTTCCCCATAAATACATGCTCAATTGCGAGGCCTTTTTTTTTTTTTTTTTTTTTAAATCAAATCATCTTTAAGCCTTATTTTTTTTCAAGGTAATAGTGTAGGAGTTTGAAGTGCTATCCAAGTCCTAGGGATGTCCTGCATGTTTTAGACGTTTCCTTCCTCAACACACCTGATACAAATGATCAGGATCATTATCGGGCTTCTGCAGAGCTTTCTGGTGAGCTGATCATTTGTATCAGATGAGTTGGGGGAGGGAAATGTACTTCTAAGCTGTAAATATAAATTAATCAATGGCATTTGATGTGTATGGTGTAAAGCGAGAAATCATTATCTCGGAACTTCATATGTCGGCACCAATGTAAAACACGGAGGAACAGGGAAGATGTTGACTCAGAGAACATCAGCATTTTCCAACCCTTTTTAAGTCAATGAAACATAATAGAATGTGGTGAAAAACACTAAAGTACAATGAACGAAATGTTTCAGAATTTAGAATGTGGTTCAAATTGCTGCCTGATATTTGCATAATTAATGACTGAATGCCATTTAATGTATCCTGCTCTGACTTTTCTGAAAACCATATTTTTTAAAATGCATCCTGTATCATATATATACATATATATATATATATATATATATATATGTACCCCAAAACTCATATTAATTGACAAAACAAATGACATTTTTAGTATAATCAGCGCTTGTTTTAGTTACTTTTATAAACAGCTGTAGTTTGAGTTAGCTGGAGCTTTTTTTTAAAAGCATTTTTTTAAAATTCCATTTTGCCAATGAAAATGTTTTTTCAATTTACGTTTTAGTTATTTTGCTCATTTTCATTGAATACATTATACTAACCCTGATGCACCCTCCCGAGCTGCACTCACATTCACTGCTGAAATGCTCTCATACACATTACTAAATCATCTGACACACACACTTCTGAATGTGATAATAAATCTTTTAAAACTTCAAATTTTTCAACTATAATGCCCGCTTCATTAATGACTTTTCTTGATCACTCCACCAGTGTTTGCCCAACATCAGTCATAAAAATTACAACATTCCAACACACTTTCAGTAGTGTACTGTGGTCCCCCAACCACTTGGACCTATCTTGGTCGCACAGATGGAGTGTATTTCTCGATCCAGGGCAGAAAAAAACTTTTGTGACTACTGGTTTAA